TTATCGAAAATTTAATATTATGATATTAGCTGAAGTATGATCAAATAGCATAGAAAAATAGAGCATTCTTTTCTCTATCAGACCATATAGAAAGAAAGTTTCTTTAACCTTTCTATAAGGGAAAAAAATACCACTGCCACTACTTTTGGTAGGCCCTAAGTATAAAACATATTTTTATCGAATTAGAACGAAAAAGGATTGTCAAATTCTCAGTGGATACAGTTTCGATGCATTCAAACCGTCATTTGAGACGATGTCCATATTAAGCGGGGAAAAGAATCTCGAGTCATTGTGTTCGTTGGGTAAAATTGTCACCATTTGTTCAACGATGGAACTGACTTTTGTTATTTTGTATTTGATTTGTTTACAAAGAAAATATTTCTGTTGTATGCTGAAATGGTAAGGGCTACTGTGGAACTTTAGAAGTTTCAAATACACAAATTAGTGTTACTTACGTACGTAAAGTTAGCACCAGATTCAAATATTTCGGCCCAGATTCATTTCTAAACTTGCTCCAACCTGGAGACGACTTGGTCCAGATAGAGCTCAGCAAGCTCTACAAAACGATGTATTTGCTTTCTCAAAACAAACAGTGCTTTATGAGAAAAAAATTTAAAAACTGGTTTTTTTAACACGAAAAATTACGGTTTTACAGTAAACATTTCACAGATTCATTCGAGGACTTGGTCCAAAGCTCAACTGCACATTGTTCGATAGAGCTCATCGAGACCTGTCCTCGATGACCTTCATCTCAACAAAACCATTAGAAAGTTTTCCATAGATGCTCTTTTATTGTGCTTTATATGCATATACAAGAGGTACATCCAAGAAAATACATGAAAAAATAACAGAAGATAGCTACGTGATAGTAAAAAAGATATGTGCGGAATAAGAAGTAAGATATCAAACTAAACTAAAGATTGAGATGTGCTCGAAGAATAATAGTGATTTCTTATTGTGATTGTTGTTTCTCTCTATTTTATTTGAATTCAGCATCAAAAGTTTAGTAGATTCAAGTGACTTTGGAAAATTTTTGACCTCCGCCTATCGCCGTCCGTGGATGTCACACCCAGATTGAGACCTCGGTCGGGCAAACCTATCTCCTCCCTGGTTTTGAAAATAAACGGGCACTATTATACACCATTCGAATCGCCTTCTGACGGGCTACAATAATATGCTCGCCTTTTTTCAAAAATATTTTTTCCCTTCAAAGAAGTCGATCTTCTATATGCTTCGCGTCACATCACAATACTTGTTATTGAGCTGGAATAGAAGTTCAAAACTAAACTCGGTTGAAGTACGCTACTATGAGATGCAAATAAGTGTTTCATGAAATTTCATATCGTTCCACATCACTTTGAAATGTTTAGGACGAAAAAATATGCTATCTTCTTCGCATAAATACTCTCTTCTTCTGATCTTTTAAGTAGAATATCAGACTGAATAGTAGCCTTCCGTCCCGGTTAGATTAGGAAGAACCTTGCTTACTTCTACTAGTGTGCTTATTACGGTCTTATTTGTTGTTTTCGTTTGCTTCTCTCTTTCTCTCTTCGTTTCTCCCATTCTCTTTCGCTCACATTACTTAGAGCTACTCTGTCAAAGTGAGTTGACCACTTCAGCTTACTATAAGGTCTATACATTCCCCAACTGTCCTATCCTATCATCATGCCTAAACACAAAAAGTAAAACGCCCACGCTCTATCTGCGGCAATTGCTTCGCCAGTAACGCGAAAAGAAGGGAAAGTGAAGGAAATTGAAACTTTCGACGACGAAATCGAAGAAGGCGAACTGGAGACTATGAGTACGGAGGGGGAGAACGAAGACGATCATGCTGATGATGAAGAAGAATACAATAACAGAAAGATGATACGACATTCAAAGAAAAGCTCGACTTGTCAGCTATAGCAGATCTATTCGAACGATGCAAAAGCCAAAGTGGAGCCCGAAATCTCTCAGTCTTGATCTATACATTATTACGCCATTTAGGCATTCCACTGGTCACGATAGAAACGCTTCTAGCTGCCATCGGGGCCTACAGTCGTCAACCTGTAAACGAAGATGGGGAGCCAAGTTTCAGCCAAATTCTCAGCGATCCTACTTTGAGGGTCATGAAAGACCTGATGTGGTTGGCCACCGAGAACAGTTTATCTCTCACTTCATCAATCGAAAAAATCATTATTATACTGTGAAAGAGGGTGACAATCCAGTCTGGCAGCGACCTACAACGAAACCATGCGTCCTCATTTTTCACGATGAGAGCACCTTTCGCAGTGGAGAAGCATCTGCGAAAAGGTGGATCATGCCAGATCATTCTCCATTTTACAGTAACGGACGGGGACGTAGTTTCATAGTCTCAGACTTTCTCGTCGCGCATTACACGGGTCCCTTCTTTTCACTCACTCATTCAGAGTTTCAAGCGACATCGAAAAAATATCCGAGTCTATTAGACGATAAAGAACAGATGTAGAACGGCTATTCGGCAACAGCGGGAATCACCATCGGACAGGACGCTTATTTCAACAATGAAACAATCCTTGCACAATTCGAGCGTCAACTCGCCAACTCGTCGAATTCAAAAGTGAATTCCAAGGTTACGATATCGAAGTTTTGGTTGACAATGCTCGCACTCATTCGGCCAAAGAATACTCGATTCATGACTTTGGCAAAGGGATAGGAATAATCAAAAAACTAAAAAAAAAGGTTGTGTGTGAGTTTTTAGTAAACTTCCTCGAATCTGGGTGAGCTCTACGCGCTGAGGAAGAGATAACGTCGGTTTTCAGTCGATCCGACGGCCAACAACCCAGAAATATACTTCAAAATATGAGTACATACGATCAGGTAGGTTTTTATACTTTATCAATACTGAAGGCATATAAGAAGACCGGCTTCTTTGAAGGGAAAAAATATTTTTGAAAAAAGGCGAGCATATTATTGTAGCCCGTCAGAAGGCGATTCGAATGGTGTATAATAGTGCCCGTTTATTTTCAAAACCAGGGAGGAGATAGGTTTGCCCGACCGAGGTCTCAATCTGGGTCTGACATCCACGGACGGCGATAGGCGGAGGTCAAAAATTTTCCAAAGTCACTTGAATCTACTAAACTTTTGATGCTGAATTCAAATAAAATAGAGAGAAAAATTTTTTGCGGCCCACAAAGTGGTGAAAACCTTCAATTTCTCGAAAACAGGCGGGTGTTTTCGTTTTTCAACTTGTTCTGCCGTTCGTTTGACTTAAAAAATTTTTGAAGCTCATATTCGTGATCAGCTGGGCGAGCTCTATCCAACCATGTATAATTCGACTAGATTCGTTTTTGTCACGGTACTTTTGAATTTCCGGCACCTTACCGTAAAATACTGAGTTACTGGACTATTATTATACGAAACGCTTAGAGAAACAACAATCACAATAAGAAATCACTATTATTCTTCGAGCACATCTCAATCTATGTCAGTTACTATACTCAAGAGTTCGTTCAAATTTTTATTTATTGTTGTTACTTTTAACGTTTCTTTTTGTATTTAAGGTTGATATGTTATGGATGGATACAACAGCACCAGATAATAGAGAAAGCCAACTGATTTTTTATGACACTACAGTCACTCAATGCTTTTCATAGACGTACATAACAAGTTTCAAAAACGTCCCAATTGTTCTCTCAAAAATGTCTGTGGAAAGTAGTTTTTGCATGTGCTAAATTTGGAAGCTTTTCAAAGAGGTCCTGATTTGCTGCGTTTCAAGCTCAGGTTTTCTTAGAATTTTTTCAACCGATCTTCTACAAAGATAGAACTTTTATCTGCATCGTTTAATATAAACTTCTTCAGGGTAGGCCTAAACGTTTTAAAAGAGTTTGAATCGATATTGAAAACTTATTGTATCGATGGTATCTACAATAGACGTCAGTTAAAGAAGAAAGCCTTTCAATGTTTTAATAGTTCTTTAAAAGTAAATAGCAGATTGGCATCTGTCTACCAGTGTGCTATCTGATACGTTTCTTAACTTTGAAAACATTTGTATAAAAAACAAGAAAAAAAAGTCGAAATTTTTAGTGAAAAATGTTCTTTGCTCAAACTTATTCTATTTGATTTCGACGATACTAAAATAATCCGTACACTTTTTTGGATGAGTTGATTAATTTATATTTTTTGGTTTGTAGATGGAGAAATACCTAATTTATCTGTTTCACGTTTGAATATTCGTGGATATTCTTGGATGGGCCAAGCACATGTCTATCGTTCAGCATCCAATGGCTATAATGTTAATTGTTTTAGTTCTGTAATTGATGAAATGTTTCGGTATTACCACAAGGTACAGGAATAGCTGCAACATGGAATAAGTATTTAGTTTTTGAAGCAGCTGTTATGGTTAGTGATGAATCGATGGCTATACAATATAATTATCCAAATAAAAGTGTTGATTATAAAACTGGTGCATCTAGTGTTATTAATATTGCTAGAGATGGTAGATGGGGAAGGGTACCAGAAACGTATGGTATACAAAAAAGATATATACATATGTATACTAAATTGAATTTTCTGTTTTTCTTTTCCAAAAAAGGCGAATGTCCAGTGTTAACCAGTGAAATAGCAGTTGCATTTAATAACGGTCTAATGAGTTATGCAACATTAGAAGATACAGAATTAGAATATGGCATTTAATTCAACGGCTATTTCACCGGTTAACACTGGACATTCGCCTTTTTTTGAAAAGAAAAACAGAAAATTCAATTTAGTATACATATGTATATACCGAAACGACGAAAACCCTTTTTTCCTGAAGTGTTGTTGAAACCACATGCGTCAGACGTGAAATTATTATCTGATCACGACGAAATAATGTCTATCCGTTTTGCAACATAGCATGCCTTGCACACTGATAGTGCCGGTCTTTTTCCAGTACTGTACTCCGATTTTTTTATAGGAAAGTTGATCATGTTTTTCATAGGAATCTTACACTTCCTTCTCTTACAAAGTTTTTGAATTAAGTGGCTAGTCCAAATTCTGTATCAGACATAGCGTCTTCTGGTACTCATGGACGATATAGTCCTTTGAGTACAGGAGAAGGACGTCTGATATACAGTCAGGACGTTGTATCCATTGACAGTGGCATGATTGGTACACAAGTATTACGTTCAAGATGCAAGTCTTTAAAATGATCCAGACAGTATTCCGGATGTTTTTCTGGAAACATTTTCAAAAAAATAGACTAGTCTGGACGTAAAGCTTGGAGCGATGTCCAGCCATAATAACGGGTGCCTCTAATTATGTCATAACTGCTGTTACGACATAATTAGAGGCACATATGCCATCAAGACGGGCAGGATGAGTGTGTTGCAATGCCACGATCGTCGCCATAGTCTTGACTATACACAGGTCACACGAGCCGATGGGCGTCGTTTTAACTTTTTGGACCTCTTCATCCTTAACTGGTATGTTGACTGGCGTCAGGGAGTACGTCAGAACGTACTCTTGAACATTTCTAAGAAGTTATCGTCTTCCAGACTAGTCTGGACGCCAGTCAACTACTTTTTTTCTTTAGCTGGGAACTTGAAAAAAGTATAGCCTAAACGCCTCTTCACAGTTCTACCTCAAAACATCATGTTTATCTCAGCAATGATGCACGTACAGCACTACCTCCACTATAACAAAGTATCAGCTCATCAAACTGGTTATAAATCAAAGAACGTATTGATAGTGACTGCTTGTTATTATTGCTTTTTTCCCAGTAATTAGTATCAGTTCTTTTCTCAATGTTCTAAGGCAACATCTGATTTGACACTGATTGGCAAAATATTTGATTTAGGACCCGGTTTCTTGCTGAAGTAGTTTTGAGTAGTATTATATTCTAGTTTCTCGTTCCTTCATAATCGAAAGCACATATTTGATAATGACTTAGTACAGCATTACCTATTTTTCTTGCTTTAAAAAGATCGTGTTGTGCTTGATATAAATATTTTCGAAGCATTTTACACATCTTTCAGCCATCTTGAATAATGATGTTCATTTTCTTTGTACTTACTGCTGGAATATCTCTTATATCGAGTCAAAAACCGTGTTGTGCACCATCACAGTGGGAAAGCACGTTAAGTTCGTGAAAGGGTATCCTACTACCTAGTGGATCACAAGGAACGTTTATAAGTTTTTGCATGTACTAAGATTCGTTTTATTGCATAGTGCGGAGTTTTAGGCTTCTTATAATTATTCATGCGACTTTGATGCAAAATTGATTGCCATGACTGGTGTAATTTATGGTACTGATCAGCGAAACACAGATCTTAACGTCATTGAAGATTATACGACCAATATAGTGTATTATATTGATTTGGACCAAAATGTATGCTCAAAGGAACAGTTCACATTGCCCTTAATACAATGTATACCAGGTTGGGAAAAAGTTAAAATATAAAAAATATGACGGCTGAGGTATAAAGAATGCCATCTCCATATTTTTCGAATAACGTTTTTTCTTACTTTCTCAAGAGTTAATTTTTTCTTGAACGATACGTCTTAAAATTCACTACAAAAGAAGGATCGAATGTTTTATTACAAAATGTAAAAGTAGAAAACTACACGAAAAATACTCAAAGACTCTGAAAGTTACAAAAAAAGAATGTCCATACATCTTCTACTGAACGGTTATTCACAGCTACTGTTACATTTTTCTTCATACCCAATAAATATCTTCTTTTCTCGCTTGTGCCATCAAGTTCCATAATCACTACATCTAACGCCAATGTTGAAAATAGCGCACACACAATTAAATACAAAAATTCGACCTGTAAACCATGCATACATTTTTACTAAGATAAATAATTCTAATTCGGTCAAACTGACGATTTACCTGTAAATGATAATGTAATTGTGTAATTGTTAAACTTTCTCCAGCTACACCTAAAATATATGAAGAAAAAAGGGAAAAAAATATCAGTGTATATATATCGTCACTAATGAATAAAGTTAAGAAAATGTCGCTGAGGTGATCAAATGCTGCGAAGATTTACTGTCACCAATACCCACTAGCTCCTAAAAGGAATACTGGCAATCATCGTATTTATGATTTTACCCGATTGCTCTCAGATCCGACACTGCTACTTGATATGTTTTAGAATTTGGATCTGCTCGTACTAGATAAGCTTTTTTGCCTTGATGCTGGACCATTGTGTATGGGCCTAAAAATTTTGGAGAAAATTTATTTTGTGGTTTACGATTTCTGACTAATACTTTATCACCGATACTATGCTGTGGATCTGAACGATAACGATCATATTTTTGTTTTACTACTTCTTGATGTCCCTTGATATTTGGTTTCACTGCTGTTTTTATCATTTCGCCATATTTTTCAAATTCTACCTTCTATTGTTGTGGATCTGGTAATTCACCTGTTTCACCTACTGGATCTACCAAAAGTCTACAATTTCTACTATACATCAATTCAAAAGATGTAAATTTTGTTATAGCACGTTGTGTGTTGTTATAATTGAATGTTGTCAGCAATAACATTTCGTCCCAATTCGTTTTTGTTGAATTAGCAAGTGTTAATACCTTTGGTAGGAACGTAGCATTATATCTTTCACATTGTCTATTGGCTTGTGGATGATATGGTGTGACTCTGATATGACACGACCCCACTAATTTTAAGAGTGACTCAAATAAAGCTGATGTAAGGTAACTTCCATTGGTGACTAGTTCTTTTGGTGTTCCATACTTCAAGATTACTTCTTCCAATAAAAATTGTGCTGCTGTTGTTGATGAACAGTCTCGTACAGCTTTTGTTATGAAAAATTTTGAAAACATATCGGTTAACACAATCACATATTGATTTCCTTTTGACAATTTTGATGTTGGCCCTACGAAGTCCATTGCTACTTTGTCAAATATGCCTTCTGGTGGTGGTGGTATTAATTGAAGATGACCATCGCATTTTCATCTACTATGATTATACTTTTTACAATGTATAGCCTGCAGTTCACGATGGGGAATCCATTGGTGTATGGAACGGTGACCATATTCGAATGCTCTTCTTGAACAATCCTCCTGAGCAATTACCAAAAGCAACGTCAAACTTTGTTGGCTTGATAAATTATAGTGTCACGTGTTACATGAATGCCATATTTCATCAGGTACATTTCTATTTTTATAAGAACTGCTAACATTCTTTTCCTGTTCTTATTTAGCTTTCCATGATTCGAGAAATTTGCGAGACCATATTGCAAGTCCCAGTTGAAAAAATGCTGTCAAAGTCACAAGATGTTAATGTCCGCCGTTTCATTTGTGCCCTCAAGATTTCGGGAAATATTCAGGTTGGATCGGCTTTTACGTTTTTGTATGCTAATGTTTAACGTATTTGTATATGAAAATTCATTTAGTGAGAGAATAACATTAGGTGACGCAACAAACATGCATGAGCGTGATCAATATCCAAGAGCAAACGAAAACAGTAAAAAGACTTACATTAAAAATGGACAAAACCAGAACAAAGAAAATGAAATGATCAGTTGGAAAGAAAGGGATCACATGCCGATATGTTTTCAAAATTTTTCATAACAAAAGCTGTACGAGACTGTTCATCAACAACAGCAGCACAATTTTTATTGGAAGAAGTAATCTTGAAGTACGGAACACCAAAAGAACTAGTCACCAATGGAAGTTACCTTACATCAGCTTTATTTGAGTCACTCTTAAAATTAGTGGGGTCGTGTCATATCAGAGTCACACCATATCATCCACAAGCCAATAGACAATGTGAAAGATAGTCTTGGTTTTGTCCATTTTTAATGTAAGTCTTTTTACTGTTTTCGTTTGCTCTTGGATATTGATCACGCTCATGCATGTTTGTTGCGTCACCTAATGTTATTCTCTCACTAAATGAATTTTCATAATTGCTAAGATATTTCTTATGGCGAGTAGAAGAAAGTGCTTGTTGTGTTATAAGTGTGTTAGTTGCTCCGGTGTCGATCATTATTTGCATAGGAGTATTATTTACAGAGGAAGAAGTAAACATTAATGATGGATTTATGACGTTATTATTACTGGAGGCATCACAATCCGATGCATCGGTTATTGGAAATGCGGACTTCGTTGCTGACTATGGGCACGAGAAGTCCAACCAAACGTATGATTTCCTCTTTGATTGTGATTCGAGTGTGAATTGGCTGTGGTAGAAGAAGAATGTGTGTTATTTGAAAGTGATGGTTGAGAAGAAGAACTATTAGAAGAAGTGTTGGAGTTTTGTTGTGATTGATTATTATTAGAACGTTGTGTTGGCGTTACATAAATATTTGAAAATGAAGAAGAATGAGAACTAGGTGCTGATGTTGTTAATAAATGATCTGAATCTAGATTATTTAAATCAGGATCTCTGCTAATTAATGCTTCTAAATTTTCTATATCTTTTGCTAATTTTAAAAAGCCAGATGTTGTTTTTGGATTCTTTTCAATTATTTTGATTTTAACTGATGGTTTTAAATTCGCAATAAGGTTTTGGAGTTTAGTTTGTTCAGACATCTGAGGATCTGTATCCGTGCATAATTTGATGATATCCGCGTATAACATAACTCATTCCAACATTATTCAATGACTTTGCAACATCTGGATGACTTTCTTTATATAAATCTCGTCTCATTTCTAATGCTTGTTCGAAGTATTCTAATCCTTTTCGTGCATCACCTAATGTATCATAACCCGTTCCAACACTATTCAATGACTTTGCAACATATGGATGACTTCCTAGTCAACATCAATTTTGTAGCGAATTAAATTGCTCATCTTTTGAAAACAGATTGAATAATCTACGTTGTATCTAGGCTGAAATATTCGAAAAACATACGATGTTGCAAAACTTTTGGGACACCCGGTAAATTGCTTTAAAATTCAATCTTTCACATACCCTTCAATATAAGAACTGCGACAAAAATCATTTCTTTTCTTTTCTTTACTCAGAAGTTTATGCAATTCACATAGCTATCTGTTATTTGATACAACAACCAAAACCACCAACAAATGTTCATATTTTCTCCGATTGTATATAGGTATATATATATGTATCCGCTGCAACTAGTACTGTGACGGGTTTGACCCGCTGCAGCTAGCTACACCCGCTAAATTTTACTCTCTTAACTAGTTGCAGGCGATGGAGAAGCGGCCACTTCGTCTGCAAGAACAGCTAGCCTATTCCTTGAAATTTCATGCTTGAGTATGTACCCACTGAATCAAAACTGCCTGCATTTTTCATGGTCATCGATATTTTCGGTAGTGGTAATAGGAATAAAGATACATTCAATAATAAAAGACATAATTGAAAAATATACCGAAAAAGAAAAGAATTCTGAAATGTGTATGCAAAAAAGACGATAATAGAAAAGTTGATTAAAGCAATCAATAGTAAAATGCCGAAAATTTCTTATAAGCCCAACGACGACTGGACTAAAGCAGACATATATATTAGAAATGCACATAAATTGATAAACTTGAATTTGGTACAAAAAATTGAAGACAATGAAAATTCAGCCTCTTTACATGTAAAACTCGCAAAATACGAGCAGAATAAATTATGCGATTTCAAAAATTGAACAAAATATCATGAAAATAATTTGAAATATTAAAAATATTATTTAAAGGAAGTCATCCATATGTTGCAAAGTCATTGAATAGTGTTGGAACGGGTTATGATACATTAGGTGATGCACGAGGAATAGGCTAGCTGT